TATGTCTATCCTGCTGATATGTTTCCAACCTCACTCTTGCCTTATTTGCCCGCCCTCTTCTGAAGGCAGTAGGTTTCTCTTGTCTCATCATGGAGAGTCCTTGCTGAACACCTATGGCCAAAAAATAGGCCCCTTATTCTGAGTTAGACTAAAAACCTTCGCAAGTGCCTGAAACCAGGTAGGCCATCCCTATTCTAATGTAGCTAAATCTACTTGAATCTTGTCCCCAGCCGTATATTCAACAGCATATTCAGCACTCGAATATATCCCATGTCCCTTCCTCTGTCATCCCCCCTTTTTTCCATTTTCCAGTTTTAACTTGCCCTCCCACTCCCCCACTACCCCCTACCGTCTACCCTCAGTAACCCCAAAGACTTGCCTAGAAGAATTCGAAGCACTTACTCGAGGAATTGGTCCCCGGGTCATGAAAAAGTGCTGGTCAAACTTGCTAGAATAGAGGCTCCCATGTCCCAAGACGAAAAACAGAAACTCTTTTTTCTCTACTCCCAATTCCTCCCATTCCTTGGTAACCTATCTACCCTATCCCCAATCTATGCTATCGACTGACTGCTGCTTGTGTCCTCCTTTTCCAATCTGGGCACGTAGTGTTGCAGGGCTGGTCGAAACTGCAACTGTCCTGTAGTAGAGTCTTGCACCAGCATTTGCGGGAACGGAGCCCATCTCTGCCAAAAGTCTGCCGCCTTGGCCTCCCGTGCGCGTCTACTTCGGTGCAGATCCGCCAATATAGCAATGCGAATATTCTCCAGTGCCCTCTCCTGATAGGCCCGAAGTGGCGGGGACGTTCCTTGCCTACATCGTTCATTTCTCAATGTCCACAGAGCCCATAACACTGCTGCCCTTACGAGCTCTTCCACCACCATTTCAGCCATAGCCCGCCTGCTTGCCTTGCCCAGGGTACCCAGCAAGATATCTGTGTCGGTCGTTTCATCCACCTGTAACGGTGTCTTGTCTTCCATTTCCTGCGCCCACCACTCCCAAAACTCCTGCACCCTTGGGCATCGAACAAAAAAGTGGGGGATCGTTTCCACCTGGCCGCAAGCTGCTGCACAAGTTTGGTCCTTATGACAACTCTTGGCAGCCTGCCACTGCGCAGTCGGGATTGCCAAATGGTAAATCTGCCATAGCAGGCCCGCCTGCTTTTGGTCTGGCAAGGCAGCCATGATGTTGCATTGTTCGTTCCACTTTCGTTGAGTCCAATTGGCAAGGCACGCGTCCGGGAGCCACTCCCGTTTAGCCCATCTCTCCTTCAGCTCCCCACAGATGTTCACCGGTTCCAACAGCGAGTTGTAAACAATCTTCGTAGTTACCTCTTGGAGTGGCATCGATCTCCTGTGCGTCCTCTGAGGAGGCCATTCCCAATCTGTCGGGTTCCAGACAAGGGCTCTCAGCCGGGTTGCAGTGCAAAAGGGTAGGTAGTGTCCAGCCTCTTTCTTCCCTCCTTCACATACCGCAACCGTTTCCACCAGAGCTCGTGCTATTTTCCTCACAGCGTTGAGGTCCTGCAGTGGTTTCCCCAACCCCTCCCATCCCCGTCCCGGCCTATCCTTCCATACAGTGACCTACAGGTCCCCATTCGGCATTACCTGCTTGACTCTATAGAGCCTTTCGGGTGCCTCACTCCCCTTAAGCTTGACCCACTGGCCCGCTACCATCTCATCTTTTTTTAGTACTTCCACCCATTGAGTCGGAATAGCCTCTCTCATGTCCTTGACCCTTTGGCCCCTCTTCATGCACCCCTGCAGTGCAAGATCCATTTCCTCATCTGTACGCCAATCCTTCCGATCCTCATCTCACAAATGTCCCACCTTGAAAATGCCTCTCCGCCCATTTCCATCCATAAGCCCCTCTCGCCCCCTGCCATGGGTAGGGTTCCCCTGCCTCATCACAAATAAACCGGTTATCAAAGAGCAGCTGGTTAAAAATAGCATCCGCTGTTTCGGGGAGCCGACATCTCACCTGGATCTTCTTCCACAGGGCCAGTTTCTGAGTCCACACAGTCCCCCTACAAATATGACCCATCGCGGAGCTGCTGAGCAGGCAGAGATCTACCAGTTCCCTAGGGACCTGGAGAGCATAAGCAAGATGAGACAGCGTCACTTCTTGCCAAGTTACCCCCTCCGAGCGCAGCAGAGCCCAGATGAGCTGTCACAATTGAAGTGCAATTATCTGTAAGCGCGGATCCAGCAGGCCCAGCCCTCCAAACCTTCTTGGTTGAATAAGCTTACACCAGGCAACTCTGCATATGGAATTCTCTGACCTCGCGTTGTTTGACCACAGATGCGCTTGGACCGCCCTCCTAATATATTGGAAGGTACGCCTCCCTGGCATATGAATTGCGTCCGCGTACCACAGGGTGGCCAGCACCGAATTCTTAATCACTATAGCCTTTCCAAAGGGCCCCATGCTCCCTCTCGCACTCCATGCTTGCAGTCTTGCCACCGCCGCTGTGGCCCATATCGCCATCTGCTCAATTCCTCCATAGCTCGGTGTTAAATTGGCCCCCAAAAATGCCATTCGCTCTCCTTCGGCCACTGTGTGAATGTCCCACCCTTCTGGAGGGTCCATCCCCAGAGGCAGAATGGCCCTAGACTTCTGCCAATTCACCCGTGCGCCTGTGTACCTGCAGAGGGTTGCCAGGTCCTCTTTGAGAATGCCCAGCTGCTGAGCCGTTGGAACAAGTACTGCACCTGTGTCGTCTGCAAAAGCTGTAGATTGCAGTTCCGCTCTTGGTCCCGCCTTGAGACTGATAAGGCGGCTGTCGGCCCGCAAGATCTCGTGCATTGACTCAATGTAGATGACATAGAGGGCAGGAGAGAGCGGGCAACCCTGCCTCACCGACCGAGTCACCCTCAACCTATCCGATCTCACCCCATTGACTTGCATCACAGTCGAGGCTCCCTTTAGGAGGCCACGAATCCAACTGCACAGGATAGGCCCAACTCCCCTTCGCGCCATACTTTGCCGTAAAAATTCCCATCTGACCCGGTCGTAGGCCTTCTCAAGATCTATTGACACAAAGGCCAGTGCCTGACCTGTGCATTGCTCCTCCTCCAATATCTGCTGTGCTAATAAAATATTCGACAAGATCTGGCGACCCGCCACAAACCCGGTCTGAGTGGAGTCAATGATACTTGGTATGACTTCCTTCAACCGGTTTGCCAAAACTTTGGCAAGTATTTTATATAGCGCATTCAGGATGGAGATCGGGCGCCGGCACGAAGTGTGGCGTCAGATTTTCCATAGTACATGAAAATGGAAGGGAAACAGTCAGTAGTCTTGCCAAACTGATGGAGAGCCGTGTGCTTGGAAATCTTGCACGCACGGTTCGGAGGGAAGCTTAGTCAGATTACACACACTGCTTACCCTATCTATTGGGTCGTTGGTTCGAATCCAACCTAGGGAGCTGTTCTGTGTTCAAATATACGGTCGACCGACATTCTATTCTAATCTAATTTAATTAGATTAGAGACGTTGCACAAGCGCTTTGTTGCTTGCCTCTCTACTCTACTTGCCTCCTTGGCTCCTTTTTTGAAGAGTAAAACCACATACGCATCCGCAAAGCCTTGAGGAAGGGTGCCTCCCTTCACAGCCTTGTTATAGGCTGCTGTCAGCAGAACTCCGAAAAAATTACGGAGTTCCTTATAAAGTTCCACCGGCATTCCATCCAAGCCAGGCGTTTTGAGCCTAGGGAGCTCTGCAATCGCTTACCACTTCCTCTTCCGTGATGTCCTCTTCCAACTTACAAGTTTCCGCAAGATTGAGGCGGCTCTGTACATGGCTCCAGATATCCAGCTCTGGTTCACCGGCCATCTCCTCAGGAGTCCATTGCTCTTCCTCCGTGAGCAGTTGGCGATAGAAATCGGTAACGCACTTCAAAATTCCCCGAGTAGTACGCTGTTGCTCCATCTGGCCGTCAAAGGGGTGATCCATGGCTGTCATTATTGGTGCTGCCTTTTTCGTTGCTACTGTAGCAAAGAACTGTCGTGACATTCGTTCCCCCAATGTGATCCATGTCTCCTTGGTGCGTCTACCCCATTTAACCGCTTCCTCTGCCTGCCACTCCCTCCATCCTCGTGCTGCTTCCACTCTCTCTGCCCACCATTCTTCCTCTATCTGGCCCTCCTCAGGGCCTTTGTCCAATTCCTCCATCCTTTGGGCGTACTCCTCCCCTGTCTTCTTGTGCGCCAGGTAGTTTCCCCTCAACAGCTTCTGCAAGATGTGCCGCAATGTCTGCACTGCTGTGATGACTTGTGGCAGGAGCTGTTCCTGAGTGCAGTCTTCGGCCCAGTCCTCCCAAAACTTAACAATGACAGGGCCATACTCCGGGCTTTTGAAAACCCATGCTGGAATCGCTTTGGGCGGGCGGCCTATCTCCAGGCGACCCACTGGGAATGTCGCGATTACTGCTGAATGGTCCGACGTAGCCATTGGTACAATGCGCACTTGCTCCCCAGTTTCGTTCAGCTCCCCCGACGCCCATATCATGTCGATGCGACTCCTTCGGGTAACAGTGTTTCCCCAGAAAGTAAAGGCCCTCTCCTGCGGGTGCAATGTTCTATACGAATCTGTACATCCCAGGCTTGTCATACCATTGACCAGGGAGGGCCATAGAATCTGCCTCCCCCTGCCGTATAGTTGCTGCATCTCGTTCCGGATCTACGAGCGAATTAAAATCCCCTGCTGTTATGAGATTGTCAATGTCCGGAACTAAAGTTTGCAGGCGCTCCCACATCCTGCGCCTTGTGCCCAATTCTGACGGTCCGTAGATGGTAACTACCCCCCATGTCGTTTCCCCCCACTTAAGCACCACCCAGGCCCACCTTCCCCTRGAGTCGTAAAACCAGTCCGTWACATCTCCTCKAAARTGCGGGGAGATGAGAAKRCAGACCCCTCCCCTAGTACCCTGCGCCGGGGCCCAAATCTGGTGGCCCTTCCACCATAACACCGGCTCTACCGTTCTAGCTTCATTCAGCTTAGTCTCTTGTAGACACACTACATCGATCTGCTCATCTTTCACTTTCCTCGCCAACTCCCTTCTGCCCCCAGGCCTCTCACTTTCCAAGTCAGCAGTTTCAGCCTATTGCAGTTTCCCTGCACTGGCATCCCCTACCCCTAACCTAACCCCTAGTGCATCCCTTACTATGTTAAGGTGGTACCTTCCTCTATATATTGCTGGGGGGGGTGTCCTTATCCTTGCGACACCCATTCAAGATACGTAAATAGTATATGTACCTACCCTACCCTACTCTACCCTCTCACACCCCCCGTTCCCAAATACCAGTTCCATTCTGGAACTTCATACCCCCCACATGTTCCATCAGCGGCAGGCACGCATTAACGCTGTTGAGAAGAGCCAGGGATGTTGTATGAACCAAGTGGTAGTCCTGCGAGAGGGCCGCAGGACCATAGGCTTCGGCGAACCGTATCCAGTGCATGCCTGCCGATCCTAGCCTCGGAACTCCCGGTCTCTTAGGGATGGCTTCCACAAAGAAGACAAAGATGACATACTCATCCCCCCCCGCAGTCTCCCTCACAAATCGTAGGGCTGATATCTGAGGCAGCGTCACCACTTCGTATCTTGGACCCAACCATTCAGCCACCTTCTTGAGCACCTGCTGTTCCCGAGGCGGGCGGGCCACTCCAAAAGTTGGTACGTCCGTTGCCCCCTCCAGGAGCAGCCTTATTTCCTCTGGCGCCCGCCATAGGACAATCGGGCAGACATAGCCCTCTCCCGCCCTAAGAATGTCAGGCAACCTGGCCCCCATGCGCTCCTGCCGTGCCAGGCCTTCCAGTTGACTCTCAGGCTGCTGGCGCTGCTGACTCTCCTGCTCCTGCGTACTTCGATTCTCAGCACTTGCCGCCTCCGCCGGTGTAGCCCGCTCTTCCGACCCCTGACCCCGCGAAGTATGATGTTCTTCTTCTACTGATCGCTCCTGTTGCTGCTGTCTTGCAGACCCCTGAGCCCCTCCCTCTGCTGAGCAGTCCTGCTGCTGCTGGTTTGCAGACCGATGACCAGACTGTTGGTCATCCTCCGAGCTATCTGATGTCTCTGTAGTAGAGGATTCCAATGAGTTGTCATCGTCTTGGCAGCTTGACTGATCACCCACCCCCTCGGCCGGAAGGCCAAAGCTTGGTTCCTTGAGGGGGACCGATCCCGAAGGCGGTGGTGACTCGTTTCTTTTCTCCTTCCCTCGCAGCGAATACCTTGGTTCATATCCCTTGGTTCCCAAGGGGGATCGTTGCCTCTCTCTTGTACACTTCGGCCTTGTTTGCGAGGTTTGCGATGAAACCTGCCGTCCCGAGGTCTCCTGGCCCATAGTTTCCCTTGCATCGATGCCACCCTGTCGGAGGAGAAGGTCGGAGCCGGAAAGCATTCCGCTGATGAGGATTTCTTCTCTGGTCCTGTGGTCACTTGCTTGCGCCTTCGCCCGTATTTTATCGGTGAGTGGGGGACCTGATCAGCTATGATTGGTGTTTCATACACCGGCCTAGCCGGTTGCGGCTGCGTGCCCGACTCCCCCACGCTGCCCTGTTCCCCTCGCCTTTCAGCCTGCTCCTGCCCTTGTCCTTCCTGSCTTACCTGCGKAGATGTTTCGTACRTCGACCTGCCYRGTTGCTGCTGCGCACCCGACTCCCCCCCACTGTCCTGTTCCCCTYGCCCTTYAGCCTGCCCCCGSCCTKGTYCGTCCTGCCTCRCCTGCCTATCGTGTGCGCCCAACTCCCCCACGCTGTCCTGTTTCCCTCGCCTTTCAACCTGCCCCTGCCCTTGTCCTTCCTGCCTTACCTGCCTATCGTCCGCCTGCGCTTCTTTCCTTCCCTCGCTTTGTCCCCCTTGGCCCTCGGATAGCCCAACCCTCCCCCCTCCTTCTCCCCCATCAGCATTCTTCTCGGACGAAGTAGCTCGGTTCCCCTGCTGCCCTTGCGTTCCCTGAGTAATCCTTCCCTCCTGCCCTCCTTTTTGTCGGCTAGTCTCTCCCCCTTCTTCGACCCCCCGAATCCTTCTGAAGACTGTGTCTGCCCGCCGTCCCCAACCTCCTTACCTGACTTGGCTGACGAAGACTCAGCGTCCCTCTCTCTTTGGTCCCCTCCTGTCCCTTGTTCTTGTCGTAAACTGCCCGTTTTGGAGCCTTTCTCTTGTTCCGGCCCCTGCTCCGCCTTCCTTTTCCGGTCTTCTCCGAAAACCCAGTGCGGGTCGTCAGTCTGCATGGGGTCGTCTCCCCTCCCCTCCCATAGTACATTTCGGCGGTATCTTCCTCTTCCCTTGGCTGGCTTCCTCCGCCTTTCTTCGTGGCAGGCCTGGCTTGCGGCCTCCTTCCGCGCCTCCCCTGCAATTCTGGCTTCCTTCAGCAGGGCGTCATCCACCTGGAGCTCCAGCTCATGCCAGGCCCTCCTTTCTTCCTGGGGATTCGACTGCAAGATCGGGTCCATAGTACTTATCACCTCCCTTTCGTGCATCTCCTGCAGTGTCTCAGACGGCGTCAAGCATCTTCCATGGAGCCCCATGTGGCCATGTGTGAAACACACCTCACAAAAGGGTGTCTCACTCGTTACTACTCTCACCTCTTCGAAGCTATAAGCGCCGATAGCCACCGCGACGCTGCTCTTCAGCGGGTTCTTCATCGGGCCATCCAGCACATACCTCACGTACTCTCTTTGCTCATCGTCCACCCGCTGTTCGCTAACGATTGGGCCAAAGAAGTACTCGACTGCCCCTCTCATCCATTTCGCTGCCAGTAGTGAGGGTTTGAAGACTTTCACCCATGGCCGTCGTTTGCGCTCACGCATTCTGTCCGCGTTCATTTCCGCTGGCAGCTTCCATGGTTGATATGTCACTTGGCCATGCACTTCTGCCACATGCACTTCATCCCTCATTCTTTCTTCGATGAGCCAGTTCCTCATCGCAACCGTCGGCGCTAAGTACGCGACAGTCAACTCCCCCTCTGTATCAATCTCACCTCGCCACTGGCCTCTTCCCAACATCCATGCCTCCTCCATATGGCCAACCCATTCCCGCTTGGCCCTCCGTGACCA